GTCCCCAGGCACTCCATCTCTTCACATTGTCTTCTCTGCCTCCATCTCAGGCCTCACTGCTTCTCTGGGTAGGATCCCACTCTCCGCTCTTCTCCATTGATGGTCCCAGGGCCCTCCGCTCCTAGACTGAAAAGTTCATCACTCCTCTACTTGCTACAAAATGTCCACCTTTAGATTTCCAACCCTCACAATCAGTCCTGATAACAATTATTCACTATTGCATCACAAGAGACCCATCTGTATTTCATTTCATCAGCCCTCTGCCCAGTCATATTTTGAATGCCTTTCCACTTGAAGTGCTCATCTTTTAGCATCATATTAGAAAGTAGTTGGCTGTAATTCGTGAGGTATTCAGTAGTTAATTTTTTCAGAAGTAGATCACCAGGACCTTTTTCTCAGTCTGTCTTTCACCCACTGCCATCAAGTCAATTCCAACTCACAGTGACTTTATACAGTGTTTCTGAAACTGTAAATCTTTACAGGAACAGACAGCCTCTGCTTTCTCCGAAGACTGGTGGGTCTGAACATTTGATTTAGTGCTTAGCAGCCCAGTGCCTCTCCCACAGTGCCAACAGGGCTTCTTAGTCTGTCTTTAGTCTTTGTTACTGAGTACACAAAGGTATTTCATCATAACAAATTATGTGTGGATCATAATAAATTATTGGTAACATTGTGAAGAATGTGAACTCCAGGGCAATTAATTGTGCTCATATGAAACCTATAAATAGACCAAAATGCAGTCATTCAAACAGAAAAGCTATGTATAAAGGTTGCATACTCTCAGCATACTTATTCAGTCTGTATAACAATCAAATAATCCTAGAAGCTGGCCTATAGGAAGAAGAACATGACATTAAGATTGGGGGAAGATACACTAATGACCTGTGATTATGCAGACAACACAACCTTGTTTGCTAACAGTGAAGATGTCTTGAAACACTTATTGATGAAAATTAAAGACTATAGCCGTCAGTATGAATTACACTTCAACATTATAATGGAGTCCTGGTGTGGCACTGTGGGTTAATGTACTGGACTGCAAAGTCATTTGAACCCGCAAGGTAGGCGGTTCAAGCTCACTAGCCACTCCTCAGAAACCCTATACAGCGTCGTTATGGGTCAGAACCTACTCGATGGCACTTAACAGCAATAACGTTATGAAAATAAAAATCCTCACAACTGTACCAATAAACAACATCATGATAAGATGAACAAAGAAAAAATTGAAGTTGTCAAGGATTTTAGTTGGATTCACAATCAATGCGTATGGAAGCAGCAGTCAAGAAATCAAATGATGAATTGCACTGGCAAACCTACTGTAAAAAAACTCTTTAATATCTTTAAAAAGCAAAGATGTTACTTTGATAATTAAGGTATGCCTGACCCAAGTTATGGTATTTTCCATTTCACATGAGCATGTGAAAGCTGGACAATAAAAAAGGAAGGCCAAAGAAGAGTTGATGCCTTTGAATTTTCATGTTGGCAAAGAAAGGACTGCCAGAAAACCCAACAAATCTGTCATGGAGGAAATACAGCCAGAATGCTCCTTAGAGAAGAGAATGGCAAGACTTTGTCTCATAGACTTTGGATATGTTTTCAGGAGAGATCAATTTCTAGAGAAAGACATAATGCTTGGTAAAGGAGGATCAGGGGAAAAGAGGAAAACCCTCAATGAGATGAATTGACAGAGTAGCTGCAACAATGAACTCAAAATGCTTGTCATTGTGAGGATGGTACAGCAACGTTTCATTCTGTTATACACAGGGTCACTATCCCTGAGTTGTAACCAACTTAACAACACCTAACAACAAGAGTATGAAGGGGAAGGAATTTCGACTCTGAGTTGGAGGAAATATCTGGTATGACAAAGAGGCAAACAGCCCTCAGGGAGTCCCTAAAAGTGTGGAGGATCTAGGGATACTTCTTAGAGATGGTAACAGAGTGAAGAGAGAGAACAACACTGCATGTATCCTACCTTTGCCAGAAGACACACATTGATACACTGCTGGCCTATGGTCTGTGGTCAGCCCTTCCACCATTGGAATCAAAATGTTATTTGATTTTTTTTTTTTTTTTTT